AAATATGGACATTCTTGACCTCACTTGTGTATTTGATTTTTTATGATTTTTTGTACTAGGTCACTGATTGCGGCATTAAATTTGTACATAAATACTGGACCCTGCCCCCTTTTCCAGAGAAAACTCCTGCGAATGACTTTTTTTTGGTAAATTAATGCGCTATCATTCAACTGAAGTATAATATTGTCTGGTAGAAATAGCCATGGTGATTCTGGATGAATTTTGGTTTGTAGTAGCATTTTACGGCACCTCAGTACAAACGTAGTTATGTAATGCAATCCATATTTAAAGTTTGAAAATGTGAAAATAGATTGCAGGAAATTTAGGAATACAAGACATTCTCCAAAAGTGTAAACTTTAAGCACAAACAATTTATATAACCTAACGATGTTAAAATTCTGTCAGATGTAAATCAAATAGCAGGTTACAGTTAACAAATGTAAACTTCTTAAAACCGGATCAACATTTGTTATTTAAACTGCATTCATTTAAAAAGTCCAAGATTTTCTCGAGTGGTACGTCATCAAACACTTTCTTCAAGCTGTTCACGTGAAAATACTTCTATTTCATAGGGTGGAAATCGACACACTTGACAAGAATATTCAACTGTCAGTCGACACTGGCATTTCGATCGAGGACCGCTGCGGTGTCCTAAGTGGTTAGAGCGACCGCTTCGGATGCAAGGGTCGCGCGTTCAAACAGAGGCCGAGACATACCCGTGACATAAAAACGGTACCTGTAGCTGCCGTGCATGGCGCTCAGTATTAAGAGGTTAGCGTTACGACTGGTCGGCCTGGTGTCAGGATAATGTGAGTGGATAGAACATGATGTCATATTCAGATGCATGATGCCCCAGTGCTAGACATCAATATAAACTTCCACACTACATACATCGCAGCAATATGACTGAAAAATATTAAAATTACATTAAAAATCCAAATCACACACACGCACGCGCGCATTCCGGTCAAGTTTCACTCTTCCCAAGGTACATGTGAGCTAGGTAAATGTGTCCGATACTAGATCGGTACAACTCCACCTCGTATCTCCTATACAAGATCGGTACATCTCCACCTCATATATCCTATACGAGATTGGTACAACTCCACCTCTTATCTCCTATACGAGATCGGTACAACTCCACTTCATATCTCCTATACGAGATCGGTGCAACTCCACCTCATATCTCCTATACGATATCGGTACAACTCCACCTCATATCTCCTATACAAGGAATGACAATCAACAATAAGTATTGTAATAAGCTTAAATTTCTTTGTGGAGTTTTCATTCTAAATGTTTTGCCAAGAATGACAAACATGCTTATGTACACATTATGTTGAAATCCGTTTACTGAATCTTCGATGCTGAAACAGGTAACAACAGAGCAGCTTTGGCTGCTTCAGTTAATCTTTCATTATCTATACATCAAAGTAACTATGCAGCCAACAGTACAAAGGACTTTTCACAAAGGACTTTTCACAGATTGTATGAGAACATCATGTTTCTCAGATATGTGGGATATTATCAGGTTGTCAGCTTCAACATTCTGTTAGACCATCAACATGGAAATGGAATCCAAAAACATGAGGACATTTTATTTTTTTGTGAGGTTTCATCGTAGTTCAAAGCTTTGAATATGGTTGTAAATTCTACAGTAATGATCAAGGCTTTATCCGGGTAACGTCTCGAAATGGTACTATGCTGTGTTAAAATGCTATCTTTCAAACTGTGTGGATGCTCTGACGCATGGTTACGATAAGAGTATCTAATTTCATGTAATTTAATCTTAAAGAGTAGAGGATTTGATACCGCAATGGTATGATATTATTTTGGGAGGTTTCTATAACCATGGTAGCGATTTGGGATACAGAAATGTGCATTGTTTCTAACAATAAGTTTGTTTTTTGTTTCCAGGTTTGGAAGAATTTTTATGAAAAAAAAGTAAAACAAAATTTGATGTATAAGGTTTGATATTTGGGGTTAACATTGTAGTGTATGGATGGATTAGAAATTAGTCTATAGGCTGAATAACCAATTTCTTTCGTCTGAATATATTGACGATTTATTTGCCTCAAGAAAGAGGCTTTCTGAGGTTAAAATTCTCAATGCACCCAGACAGTCTTAGACCCTGATTGAATCGGGTCATATTCAGACAGAGTATTAGACCCTGATTGAATCGGATCATATTCAGACACAGTCTTAGACACTGGTTGAATCGGATCATGTTCAGACAGAGTCTTAGACCCTGGTTGAATCGGATCACAGGTATGATTTACAAGCTGGTCAGTACAGAATAGATGTATAGTCAAGTCTAAATCTTACTAATGACCCATATGACCGGAGTAAAACAATAGAATCTCCTATCTAATCATTATTTCCCAATACTCGTATTAAATCCATGGCTTTTTACTTTTGTCCATGAGATATCTAATATGTCGAAGAAAAGTTAATTAACGATCCAAAATAAGCTCAAAAAAACAAAACAAAACAGGAAATAAACAACCGTCAAGATAGAGATTTGGGACGTCGTGAATACGATGTAAGCGGTAGAAAAGCATAGTTAGGTTTTACTTAAATCCATTGTCTTTTGCATATTTCTGAACTTTGTTGATGCTTATCTGGCACTCCTCAATAGTATGTATGCTCAATGATTCGTAGAAGGTCAAAAGGTCAACATATAAAGAGCAGTCATTTTCTTACTTAAGGCATTTCGCTCTGCTGTTAATCAAACGAGGGTGTTGACTGATACTATGCTGTCATGAAGTATGGGAAAATAATTGGAACAGCTAGTTTGGTCATGTCCAGTTTGAGAGGCCGGTATACCAAGTTTGTTGTCCTGAGAGTATGTCAGTGAATAGTCCTCTGATATCATACCAGGAAAAGCTCACAGACGTATCATAATTCCACCACTTTTATAAGTATGTTGTTTATGATGTTGTTTTGTTATTGGTTTTACGCCAATTTCAGTACATTATAGGATATACATGGCAGTCATTAAATTCGGTGGAAGATAGAAGACCCTGAAAAAAAACCCGGGGAAGAAACAACAACCCACGAGAACCTACTCGCAAGCTTTTCCCACATATCCACGCTGGCAGAGATCAACACTCAAACCAATCGGACAGAGGTGAGATACCGGTGATCTGTATAAGCGTCTGTCCTAAATAAGTCTGACACCAACATACAATAATTATGCTTAGAATAGATGTTTGTCTTTGTGAAATCTTTTCAAACGGAAAACAATTATCAAATTTTAAAAGACTTCACGACGTGCATCAGCTTTTAAAGACATACTGATACAGTTGATGGAGAACTCCTGACATCCAAGTTATTGTCAACGCTACTTACAGGTTGTAGCTATTTGTGTCTTCAATCTTACTCTGTTCAGTGCATCACTTTCCAAGCACTTCAATCAATCTAACCAGCTTGGTCAGGAGCTGCCGCCCCTTTTGGTCTGCTTTAAGGGCCACTATACACTTTGGAGCTATTAAAATACGAGCAAAAGATCGAAGAAGATAAACGATTTTGTTTAAAAACAGAAGCTTTGACTTTCAACGACATACACATATATGCAGATACCACGTGATACTACTCGTCTACTCATTCTACTCATACATACAAACTACTCGTCTACTCATTCTACTCATACATACAATTGAGAATCTGATGGGTAATTGATGACAACCTATGTGGTAGTGACCACATTCCTGTATATTTAATAAGTTCTATTCCCAAAACTCGTTGAAGAAAACAAACAAACAATTGGAAATCCCTTCGTGGGTTGAATCTGACCGGCTAATCGTTTTTGACAACAGAAGACTCCAGTACTCTTATTTAAGAATTTACGAGTCATTCACGATGTTGTTGGATAAACAATACCAAACAATTAAGTGATTCCTTAACAATTAACCACCCTCACATCTCCACAAAAAGCAAGAAAACAAACCCCTTTCCCCAACCACCCCCACCCAAAAAAAACCATGAAACGAAAAAAGAAAATATCTTTTCAACATTTGAGTGTTGGTCCAACAGCTGAAAAATCCGACAATTGTATATACCTAGCTAAAGTATATCGTTCCGTTAGAAAGAGCAAATAATATACATGGATATCACATTTCTCAACCCAACCCAAACCATTCCCCCCCCCCCCTCTCTCTCTCTCTCTCTCTCTCTCTCTCTCTCTCTCTCTCTCTCTCTCTCTCTCTCTCTCTCTCTCTCTCTCTCTCTCTCGTTAAGTTGTATGGAAAAAGCATTGGAAAATATATTTAAAAAATGTATCAAGCATTTAGTTAGATCTTCTGAAACCGTACCTAAAATCTAAAATAATTTGACCGAAACATTCTCAAAGAACTCATCAACTTTAGACTGCTTACAAAAACGTGACATCCGGGTACCAACTTTAGATTACTTACAAAAACGTGCCATTCGGGTAACAACTTTAGATTGCTTACAAAAACGTGACATCTGGGTACCAATTTTAGACTGCTTACAAAACCGTAAGCTGATGAAGATTTGTGTCTTTCAAAAGCTTTCGCATAGTACCTTAATATTTTGACGATGTCACCAGTTTTTGTTTAAGCAGGTGGGAGAAATATTTTGTTGTTGTTGTTGTTGTTGTTGTTGTTTGGGGATTTTCCACTATTTCTCTGCTCAAGATAGGCTATGCATAGCGGCCAGTAAAACTGGTAGAGAAAAAAAAAAAAAACAACAACCGGGAAATATCCCGGTAAGAACCAGCAATCCACGGGAAGCTACTGGCAAGCTTTCTTACGTACCCACACTGGCCGACTCCAAAACTCAAACCCACGCCATTTGAGGTGAGATGGGAGTGATTGGTAAATGCGAACGGTTTAGACCACTAGGCCATCCGGGGCCCTAGAAAAGCTCTGTACATCGGACATTAAATGTAGTAACATTATCCTTAATGTTTCAGAAACTAATGCAACATTTCCATGACTTTCATCACTTGCACAACACCTTAATATTGTTCACACATCGCTCCGGTGTCCTAGTGGCTAGAGCGTTCGCCTCGGATGGGAGAGGCAGCGGGTTCGAACCCCGGCTGAGTCATACCAGCTGCATCACTTGACGCTCAGTATTAGGACTGGTCGGCCTGGTCGTCCTGGTGTCAGGATAATGCCACTGGGTGAGGTATCATGCCACATGTCTGCGGCATGATAAACCAGTGCTAGACAATCACTATAAACTGTCACACTGCAGACATCGTAGCGACATGACTAAAAAACTGTTAAAGCTGTTACAGCTACATTAAAAATCTAACTCCATCTCATTTTCACACACACACACACACACACACACACACACACACACACACACACACACACACTATTGTTCACAGAGCTTACGCAGGCGAACCAACAACTATCAGCATTTCAGTTGTAACCGATGTAAGAGAAATGTGAATTTCAAAAGATTATCTTATACGCCCATAATATAAACGTCATCACTGACAAAAACCGCTTCTCCAGCTTAGATCCGTTCTGGCTGGTTGAAAACTATTTCTAGATTCAGCCTGGCAAATATATTACCGGTTAAAATTTCAATACGGACCCAAAAAGACACAACACTGCATTGTTTTATATTCTATATACGGTTGCCCTGGAAAATAGCACCAAAAAGAAAAAAACTGACAAATATTTTTTCCGTGAGTTGGCAACTCAAGGATTACTTTTCAAAGTATGCACACATTTATTTATACATTTAGATAGGTGCCTTTTTCCAAATTAATAACCCCATGGATAACATTCAAAACACTACAAGTAGTGTTAAATCGTGTAAATTTAATACTCTACACGTAGTGTTAAAAGCGTGTAAATTTCATACTCTACACGTAGTGTTAACAGCGTGTAAATTTCATACTCTACACGTAGTGTTAAAAGCGTGCAAATTTCATACTCTACACGTAGTGTTAACAGCATGTAAATTTCATACTCTTCACGTAGTGTTAAAAGCGTGTACATTTCATACTCTACCCGTAGTGTTAAAGCGTGTAAATTATTTCATAACTCCTAAAGTAGGATTTCATTAATTATATTAGTGCTTTCAAACTATCAAGATGAATGCCTAGTTACACCATAAGGATTTCGTATTTCATTTTGTTAAAACTCACACTGATGCAAATGTAATGACAATTCTTTCATGATATGGGGGTGGGAGTGGGGCGATGAGTAGAGGTGCGAGTAAATTTGATTTTAAAACTGAGGGTGGAATTTATGTTACTATTTTTTTGTATTTTTTTTTTTTGTTGGTCTTTTTCTTTTTTTTTTAGAGTGCATGACAGTTTGGTCTCTAAGGAACCTATCTTGCACCAAATATGAGAATACTATCCCAACTACTTGCAGACCAGTCTTGGGCAAGCAACCATCATTGATATTTAGGGTCTTATGCTTTTATCCCAACGATTTGGTAGCGTGTCCAGTATTAAGTGTCTCCTCCTAAACCGCTTGGTGGAAATTCACAAAACTTGCTAGCTATCTTGTTATTAAAAAATGAGTATAATATGTATTTACACCCTGGAGTATCACATAAGGGCCACACCTCACCTCATACGCGTCTAGTTCAGTGGTATGAATGAAAATCTTTGTACATGCAGTAATTGGGAGTGGAAATTAGATACGGACAGAGAGCTGGTGGCAGTAATATGTAATAAAATGAAATGTGGGCAATTAATATTGCTGGCAATAAAAGTAGCCTTATTATACAATTGGGTAAATACGGTACAGACGGTTTCTAAGGTATGTTGTTGATACTAAAAAACCTGCACATTTGTCCTCGTCAACTGGCAATAAAGTGTGGCATACCAATGGAGTCAGGGGAACATGGCGACTGGCGTAAGCCTAAATAAAAAACACTCACCCTATTTTTACCCAATATAATCATGTATCTTGAGCACCAAACTACCCAAAATATAAACCTATAACTATCTTAAATTAAAGCGCGGTCAAATCAAATTAGAATATAAACGTTTGCATCAACAAACACAATGAACCCTGTCGGCTCAGATTGGTGAATGCAGTATGTGAGGGTGGACATTTTTGTGAGTGCAGTATGTGATGGTGGACATTGGTTTATTGTTTGCAGTTGGATGAGTGCTATTCATAGGAACAGGTGGTACATATTTATGACACAGGTACAGGTGGTACATATTTATGACACAGGTACATGTGGTACATATTTATATGACACAGGTACATGTGGTACATACTTATGACACAGGTACATGTGGTAGATATTTATGACACAGGTACATGTGGTACATATTTATGACACAGGTACATGTGGTACATATTCATGACTACAGTACATGCACAGGTGGTACATATTTATGACACAGGTACATGTGGTACATATTTATGACTACAGTACATGCACAGGTGGTACATATTTATGATACAAGTACATGTGGTACATATTTATGACACAGGTACATGTGGTACATATTTATGACACAGGTACATGTGGTACATATTTATGACACAGGTACATGTGGTACATATTTATGGCATAGGTACATGTGGTACATATTTATGACACAGGTACATGTGGTACATATTTATGACACAGGTACATGTGGTACATATTTATGACTACAGTACATGCACAGGTGGTACATATTTATGACACAGATACATGTGGTACATATTTATGACTACAGTACATGCACAGGCGGTACATATTTATGACACAGGTACATGTGGTACATATTTATGACACAGGTACATGCGGAACATATTTATAACACACGTACATGTGGTACATATTTAAGACACAGGTACATGTGGTTGTATGTGTATTTAACTTGACTGATGGTAACAGTGTCCGATTTGGCAAAGAAATGTATGTGTATTTAACTTGACTGACGGTAACAGTGTCCGAGTTGGTAAAAAGATATATGAGTGTTTAACTTGACTGATGGTAAGAGTCCAAGTTGGCAAAAAAGGTGTATGTGTTTTGAGTTGACTGACGGTAACAGTTTCCGAGTTGGTAAAAAGATGTATGCGTGTTTAACCTGACTGATAGTAACTTTGTCCGAGTTGGTAAAAAGATACATGTATATTTAACAGTGTTCAAGTTGGTAAAATGTATGTGTATTTAACTTGACTGACGGTAACAGTGTCCGAGTTGGTAAAAAGATGTATGTGTGTTTAACTTGACTGATAGTAACTGTGTCCGAGTTGGTAAAAAAAATACATGTATATTTAACAGTGTTCAAGTTGGTAAAATGTATGTGTAATTAACTCGACTGACGGTAACAGTGTCCGAGTTGGTAAAAAGATGTATGTGTGTTTAACTTGACTGATAGTAACTGTGTCCGAGTTGGTAAAAATATACATGTATATTTAGCAGTGTTCAAGTTGGTAAAATGTATGTGTATTCAAATTGACTGATAGTAACAAATTCCGAGTTGGTACGTATATTTAACTTGACTGATAGTAGCAGTGTCCGAGTTGGTCAAAATATACATGTATAGTTGACAGCGTCCAAGTTGATACAATGTATGTGTATTTACCATGACAGATAAATTACAGCGCCCAAACTGTTAATAATATATGCGTATTTAACTTGACTGCTTGTAAGAGTGTCCGAATCGGTAAAATGTATCTGTATTTCACTTGACTACTGTTAACAGTGTCCAAATTGGTAAAGATGCATGTGTATTTAACTTGACTAACGGTAACAGTTTCCGAGTTGGTCAAATGTACCTGTATTTAGCTTTACTGATGGTAACAGTGTCCGAGTTGGTAAAAATGTGTTTGTGTATTTAACTTGACTGATAATAATGGTGTTCGAATTGGTAAAAATGACGTACGTGTATAAAAATTGGCTGATGGTAACAGTGTCCGAGTTGGTAAAATGTATATGTATTTAACCTGAATGATGTTATCAGTGTCTAAGTTGGTACAAATATGTATTTTAAATTGACTGATGGTAACAGTTTCCGAGTTGGTAAAGATATATCTGTATTTAACTTGACTGATGGTAACTGTGTCCGAGTTCGTAAAACGATGTATGTGTATTTAACTTGACTGATGTTATCAGTGTCCGAATTGGTAAAAAGATGTGTGTATTTGACTAGACTGATAGTAAAAGTGTCCAATTTGGTAAAAGATGAGTGTGTGTTTGAATAGACTGATAAAAACAGTGTCCAAGTTGTTAACAAGATGTATGTGTATTTAAATTGACAAATAGTAACAGTGTCCAAGTTGGTAAAAAGATGTATGTGTTTTGAGTTGACTGACGGTAACAGTGTCCGAGTTGGTAAAAAGATGTATGTGTGTTTAACTTGACTGATAGTAACTGTGTCCGAGTTGGCAAAATGATACAAATATATTTAACAGTGTGCAAGTTGGTAAAATGTGTGTGTATTTTAATTGACTGATAGTATCAGTGTCCGAGTTGGTAAAAATAAACATGTATATTTAACAATGTACACATTGGCAATATGTATGTGTATTTAACTTGACTGAGAGTAACAGTGCCCAAGCTGGTAATAATATATGCGTATTTAACTTAACTGATATAACAGTTTCCGAATCGGTAAAATGTATCTGTATTTAACTTAACTACTGCTGGTAACAGTGTCCAAGTTGGTAAAGATGCGTGTGTATTTAACTTGACTGACGGTAACAGTTTCCGAGTTGGTAAAATGTACGTGTATTTAGCTTGACTGATGGTAACAGTGTTCGAGTTGGTAGAAAGACGTACTTGTATTTAACTATGGTAATAGTGTCTGAGTTGGTAAATTGTATATGTATTTAACTTGACTTTAAGCAACAGTGTCGGAGTTGGCAAAAAGATGTACGTATATTGAACTTGACTAAAGCAAGTGTCCGAATTGGTAAAATGTATGTGTATTTAACTTGGCTGATGGTAACAATGTCCGAGTTGGTAAAATGTATGTGTATTTAACTTCACTGTACGTACCAGTATCCGAGTTGCTATAAAGATGTATGAGTATTTAACATGACTAAACGTAACAGTGTCCGAATTGGTAAAAAGATGTACGTGTATTTAACTTGACCGATGGTAAACAGTGTCCGAATTGGGAA